TTCTTTCTTCTGCATGGTTGAATCTGCTGTTGATACTTTCAAGGAAGATTTTGATTTCCTGCAATATATTCTCTACCTCCAGAAGTTCCATTTGATATTTTTCAGTATGTCTATGTCTTTATGAAGTTATTCCATAATATGGAAGGATTTTCTCACTTCCTGTCATTGGTTCTCTGTTTTCTCTTGCATCTTGTTGAATATTGTTATGATGAATATTCTAAATTTTTTCCTAATATGTTTATGATCTCTTGTATTTTATCCATTGTTGGTGAGGAGTGATGATCCTTTGGAGGCGGGTAGCTATTTCCTAATGTTCGCCTATTTCTTTGGGCTGTGCTTTGAAGTTTAGTCCTGTAGTGGTATACTCACTTCTCCCTGCTTTTTTGGAGTATGTTTCTGTAGCTGTGTGCTTCTGCACTTCTTTATGCCATGCATAAGCTCTGCACCAATTTCCCACCTCTATTGTGTGTGAAGTGTGGAATCTGCAGTAGGAGTTCAGGGTTTAGGTATCCAGAGTTTCTCTCCTTTTACTGCTAATGCAGTTATGGGGAAAGAATTCCTCTAGCATCTATTTTCAGGTGTTTTGTTCTTGTATGTCCAAACCCAACTGCTCCCAATGAGGATGGAGGTTGTGCTGACATAATGTGAGCTGGTGGACAACTTCACACAGCACACCATGTTGGCTGGAGAGCCCCTCCTCCCCCACAGCAACAGGGTACGGGTCCCTGCTGACGAGCTCGAGCTGAGTGGCTTGGCTTGGGCCTGCCTGTTGTCCTTCTACCTCTGGGACTGCAGGGTCTCCCTGTTGTTCCTTCTTCCTCTCTCAGCATTCTTTTTGTTAAGCTACATCACAGAATGGAAAATAGTTTTCAGTGCCTAGGGTCTTGGTTTAGAGGTAGCCTTTCAAGGTGGAATTGGTGGCTACTTAGCTCTGTCAGTTGCTTTATGTACTATCTGAGTGACAAAAGAAAGTGTCACCTCTAACATTATGTAGTTGCTACAAACAGAATGCAAAGCCTGTTTCCTTCCCTCCAATAAAGTGATCAGCTCCCACTAATCAGTATTTTGAGTCATGGGCTCTCTTCTTGGAAATCTTTGTGAAATATTTGTTTTTAAACCACATCTTGTTTGACATAATCATCCATCTGTTGACTGTGTACTCAAGTGGAGCCCTTCCTATGTGTTATGGCTGACTCAGAGGCTAAACAGAAGGTATATTAAGCAGTTGCTAACTATCCCTTTTGTCAGAAATTACGGTTAGACTTCCTCTGCGTGTTTGGATAAGTAGATGTGTTTGGTGATCTGGAGCTTAATGTATTTCCATTATCACCTCTATTCACTCACTTTGTGAATGTAGATATGTAAGGAATACAATCTGAAATGAACAGTGAGATGTTAAAAAAAATCTTCCTGCTAGTTCATAGGCAAAAATGAGTCATAAACATTTATGATAGCAAATAAAAATACCAAATTGCTTATTAATCACTTTAGATTATTATAGTAAGTGAATAAATTAATAAAAAGGCAATAAAGTTAAAGCCTTAATGTTTACTATTCATACTTTTCTAGTCATATATGACCTGTATGTGTGTGTGATAAATGCAAGATGTATAAGGCTGCTTGCTGCTGGTATAACACAGCATGCTGTCGTACAACCATTTTTTAATAAGTAGGAGTACACCCTAAAATTATAGTGTAATATATAAGCCAATATAGGTAGATATAGATAGATATAAATATAGATATAGATAGATATATTCTGGGAAATCTGTCCTTAAGTGATCTTGTCAGTGTGTGAAAAATATACAGTGTACTTCTATAAACCTAATTGGTATATCCTACTGCACACATAGGCTCTGTAATATAACCTATTGTTCCTAGACTACAAACCCATACAGCATGTTACAGTACTGAATGCTATAGGCAATTGTAGCACGATGGTAAATACCTGTGTACCTAAACATGCCTACACATAGAAAAGGTACAGTTAAAGCTCAGTATGAAAGATGAAAATTGGTGCACCTCTATAGGTCACTTCTCATAAATGGAACTTGTGGGATTGGAAGTTGCTCTGGGTGAGCCAGAGAGTGAGTGGCCAGTGAACATGAAGGCCGAGGGCATGACTGTGCATGGCTGCAGACTTTATAAACACTGAGCACTTAGTCTACACCAAGTTTACTAAAATATTTTCTTTTATTCAACTAGTTTTACCATGTCTTTTTTGACTCTATAAACTTATTAATTTTTTAGCCTTTTGACTTTTTTGTAATAACACAGCTTAAAGCACAAACATTGTGCAGCTGAACAAAAATATTTTCTTTCATTATATCACTTTATAAGCTTTTTTCTATTTTCATGTTTCCTTTTTTCTCTTTTAAACTTTCATTAAAAACAAAGACACAAACACACACATTAGCCTAGGCCCTCACAGGGTCGGGTTTGTTGATATTGTTATCTTCCACCTCCACATCTTGTGTAACTGAAAGGACTGTGATGATCAGAACAACACAAGATTAAATCAAGCTTGAGAGAAGATGATGCCATCAAAAGACGTGATAAATGCATGAGGTATAAGGCTGCTTGCTGCTGGTATAACACAGCATGCTGTCGTACAACCATCTTTTTAATAACTAGGAGCACACCCTAAAATTATAGTGTAATATGTAAGCCAGCATGTAGTATAGTATAATATGTGAACCAGTACCGCAGTTGCTTATTATATTGTGGTCAAGTGTTATTCCTGCACATAATTATAATTGCATGTGCTATACTTTTATACAACTGGCAGCACAGGAGGTTTGTTCATCCTAGCCTCTCCACACACCCACACACAGGCGAAGAGTGCTTCGCGCCATGATGTTAGGAAGGTGTGACATCACTAGGCAATGGGAACTTTTCAGCTCCACTGGGATCTCATGGGACCTTCCTCTTAGGTGTGGCCCATCACTGGACGCTTATCAGGGGTGTGACTGTACACACACACACATGCAGTCACACTTGATTATCTGTTGTTTAGCATATTATCACAGTGATCTCAATTACTCAATTGATACTGGACTCTTTGAGCAAAATGTTTCCTAAATATTAATGATTGGAGAAAAGACGTGTTTCTGGGAAAACAACAGAACAACCACTTCAGGAACAGTCTCAATTACTCTGGCCCTTCAGAAACTCTCAAAAACAACTACCATTCATTGGGAGGCTACTGTTTAATAAGGAACTGTGGTCTATGTGTGTATGTTTGCGTGTGCATGTGTGTATACAAATATGTAGCCAAGTACATGTTTACTCTTTATAACAACCCCATCTGTTAAATCTCTCCCTTTTCACAGGTAGTAAAGAAGGCTTTCGAATCCCTTGGCCCTAGCCAGCATGATAGGTGGTGGTGCAGATGGAGAGTCCCTTCAGGCCCTTCTCCTCCTCCTCTTCATTGTTTTCCATGTCCTCCTGGCCCAGCTACCTGGGAGTGGGGCTCAGTGGAACAGGCTGGACTGACAAGACCCTCCCATGGCTGGGTAGAGAAAAGAGGTTCTGGGATCCCAGCAAGAGAAAGGGGAGGAGAAAGTGGGATAGCAAGAGAATGGTAGTTAGGAAAATACTATTTCTGGGCTAGCCACCCAGATTCTAGACTCGTTTAAGGAGATTCTGTATCTTGATACACGTGTTATGCCTCACACATTCTAGATTGTATACACGTCCTTTGTTCATGCTGGTGTTTCCAAACAGTGTATTCCTCAGTCCTGCTAGACTTGTGAAGTCTTTGAAGGCAACATTGGACTTCGTTTTCTTCAATACCACACCAGAAGTGGTGCTGGATGCAGCACAGATACTTAGTTCATTCCCTCAGCAATTTTTTTCAAAGAAGGATTTTTGTAGAAAGTTAAGATCCTTGGTGTAGTCCATATTATAGTATTCCATATAATGATTTCAAGTGAGTCAGAACTTCGCCTTTATCCATAACAAGTAATGATTCATCTTCTAATACAGATGAGGCTGGAAAGATGTGGTCATGTCCCTCCACATGAACTTCAAAACCCACCATCCAAGGGCCAGCCCTGTAGCCTAGTAGCTAAAGGAGCCAGATTTCACATGGCCAACCAAGCTTCAAATCCTGGCCCCAGCATCTTGAAAAATACCCTTGAGTGTATGTGCATGTGTTCCCCAAGTCTTCACAAGATAAAGAAAGAGAGGAGATTATAGTATGACCATGACCCACTGAAAGGTGTTTTCTCTCTCTACCCCATTTCTCTGTCTCTGGTAAATATACACTCCCTCTGTAAATTAAATATATATATATATAAGGAATTAAGATAAAAAACAATTGGACCTGCTCCAAGTCATAGTGGTTATGATGGCTGGATCCCACATGACCAGCTCTGTTCAAGTCTCAGACCCGGCAACTTGGGAAATGCTGGGTATGAGTGTGTGCAGAATCTCAAAAGGATTTGGAGGAGATGAAGGAGAAGAGGTTGCAGTGGGACCATTCCCCATGGAGAGTGGCTTTCTCCTCTCTGTCTGTCTCTGGTGAGCTCATATACTTTCTAGCCAAAATAAGCAAACAAACAAAAACTGCTATCTGAGGAAACTACGAGCTTTTAATTGATATAGTACCTGCTGAAGCCAACACATTACTTGTTTTTTTCTGATAGTGGAAATAATTTAACCTAACATTGATTTCTTGCAGCTTGTTTTTGTTTGTTTTTTAATGGCTCTGGACAACCTGTCTTTTAATTGGTGGTTTTAGACTACTGTGTTTTTTTTTTTAATAGTTTCTCTAGGGTTTATCATTTTCATTTTTACCTAATCCATTTCCACTCACAAAGAGCACCATACCAATTCATTTATAGTGAACTGAGCTCATCAGAGCTCTCGCTCCGCCGCTCCCACCCCTTGCTGTCCATCACCCTCATCTCTGAGCTGTAAGCACTTTGTTCCTGGTATTTATTTAAACAAACCGTTCTTTCCACCGAAGAGAAAGAAAAATAAAAGATAGTACTTACCTTCATTTAGTCGTTCTCCCAGCGCTCTTCCTTTATTGGTTAGACCCAGATCCGATTGCTAGGTCATTTCCTTAGCCGAAAGAACATCTCTTAACATTTCTTGCAGAGCAGGTGTAGAGAAACTTCTCAGTCTGAACTGCAGGGCAAAGAAGAAAGTGCTCACGATAAATTGCTGCAGCTTTTGTCTAAGAAAGTTTTTTAATTTCTCCTTCACTTCTGAAAGATAATTTTGCTAGTCATACAAGTCTAGACTTCTGGTATTTTTCTTTTAAATATTTTCATTCACTCTCTTCTTCCTCGCATGGCTTTTAATGAGAAATTTTCTGTAATTCTTATTTTTGTTTCTCTATATGTAAAGTGGTTTTTGTTTGTTTATTTTCCATATGCTTTCTTTCAAGATTTTTTTTTTTCTGTAGCTTGACTATAATGATATGCTTAATTCTCAAGTTTTTGTGCTTGGTGGGGTTTTTTTTAGCTTCTTGGGCTTGTATTTTGGTGACTGCCATTAATCTTACAAAATGTTCTCCTCAGATAATCTTACAAATCGTTACCTCAGATATTTCTTCAAATCCATTCACCACCACCACCCACTTTTTTTTTTTTAAGATTTTTGCTACAGGGTGTGTACACTTACCAAAGAGACAGAGAGCTAGAAACCACCCTCCACCCCACCCCCCCAGAAAGAATGGTCCTTCTCCTCCAGTCTCCTCTCAGGATTTTGTGCAAGCACACACATGCACTCAGTGTGTTTTAAGCCACCAGGTCTGGGACTCGAACCACAGTCAACTGTATGGGAGTCCAGCAACATAAACATTACACCATCTTCTGGCCCTCTAATCCATTCCCTCTTTATTCTCTTTCTGGTATTTCAGTTATGTGTATGTTACATCTTTTAAACTTTTCACAGTTCTTGGACATTGTTATATTTTTTTTCTTTCATTCATTCTTTTTTCTTTGCAATTCAGCTTGGAAAGTTTTTATTGACTTTAAGAGTGCCCATCATCAAATTTATAGTAAAGCGTTTTTTATTGCTAGCATTTCTTTTTAGAGTTTTCATCTAATATCTTTCTTGCCTTTTGGCATGACTTGTAGTTTTTGTTGAAAATTGGGCACATTACAGGGACATGGAAAGTGGATAAATGGACCGTTAGCATGAAGACACATGTTAATCTACTGGGAGCTGGCCATGCTGAATGCGTGCTGCTGTACTGGAAGGTACTGGCAGTTTCAAATTCTTCTAGTGTCCTTTCTTTATTTTTATTTTAATTTTTTCTGTCTTGGCTTTGGGTTTCCTAAAGTTCTATTCTCAGACAGTCTGTGCCTTACAGCTTTTTCAGCTATTATCCCCTGTTATTTTATTGGATTCCTGTTGGTATGATGGTAAGGCATGAGATGTGTGGGGAAGAATGTTCTATAATCTTCCAGTTAAATCTCTGTCTTTTAGTGAGTCGATTTCTTGGGACAGAGACACAGCCTTTCCTCCTCCCTCCTACCTCCTACCCCCACCTGGGTGCAGTGTTTTCAGTGTTTCCTTGAAACTCTGACTTTTGTTGACTGCTTATCCCCTTAAGTTGAAACAAGCAGGCTGGGATGAAAGAACACCCTTTACCCAGAGCTCTGAGGTAGGTGTTGGCAAAACCCTTCCCCTGGAAAGCAGATCTTTGTTACAGAGAAGGCTCTGGTCCTATTTTCCAGTTACATCTCCTTTTCCCTCAGAGCCTTAGGAGGATCTTCAGCTTGAGCCCATGGTGCTTTTTGGAGGTAAAGACCAGAAAAGTCCCTAGGACCTCAGCTCCCAGGATTTCTCTCTCCTGGCAACCCACTGGTCCTCCAGCAGTTCATGACAGTTTCCGTTTACTGCTCTACCGTCTGTGGCTCCAGTGGCTGCTGCTCCAGGTGAGCAGATCTCAGCTGTGACTCCCCGGACTCACCTCTCTCTTCAGTTCTGGGGAGGTGCTTTGCTCTGTGATGTCAGCTCTATGAGGATTCCAAGAACAGTTGTGGAGTTTCAGTTTGCCCAGATTTTTATTGTAAAGGTGAGAGTAATAATTTCTTAGTGCTTTCTATGTCAGAACTGAAAAAAGAAGTCCTGACCTTTATTTTAAAACTTCCTATAGCCATGTCTTAGATAGCTACTTCTTCATAAACAAAGGAAGTCTTATAAGATAAAGGACAGTCATTAGAAGTGGGAAGGCCATTTATATTGCTAGCAATAAACTCTACTTTCTTTTTTTGTTTGTTTGTTTTTACGTCTTGTTTACAAAGCATCTTGCTTTCTTTCATATGTATTTAAAATAGCTGTTTGAAACTAACATTGTGCTCTGAGTTTAGAGCACTTATCCAAGAGCATGTACCTAGCTAATCAGAGCAGAACCAGAGCTTCAACTAGGCCAAAACCTGTTTTAGAACATACGGAATCCCCAATTTTGACATTTCCCGTCTGTAATCCATACCTCCAATTACTGTTTTCAAGTGGTGACAATAGCTATGGGCTATTCTTTTGATAAAACTGGAGGAACTGATTTTATATGGTAATCATATGCTCAAGGTGAGACTTCTGCTGAATTTTTAAAGAAGATTTAAATGTGTGCCCAGTTTGACATAAACAAGCTGCAGAGCAGTAGAGGTTGAGGAAAGAGAGTAAATGAAGAATTAGACCTTCAGGGAGTTGAGGGGAAGGCGATGAGGATGGATGGAGAAAGACTTACTGCGCGGAGAAACACTTCCTCATTCCCCCTGGAGGAGTGCAGAGAGGTGGGTACAAGGGAGCTAGTCGCTGGGAAAGAATCTGAAGTTCAGGGCTGCTGCACTTCACTGTTGTCCTAGGCTGGGGGAGAGTATGGTACACAATTTGTTGTGGATCTGCACCTGGAAAAGGAAGGGAAGGGTACAGGACTTGAGAGAGGAAGGAAGGAAACTGTAACATAGGCCTAACAAAACCTCGGCCTGCCAGCAGCGAGATTTGGAGCAAGTATTGCCTGTCAGTAGCCATAGCAGGGCCTTTGCACTCCTGAGAGGACACTCAGGGTTTGGGTGTCCTTGGAAGGGCATGACCTCAGGTGAGGCGTCTCTCAGCTGGGGAAGAACAGTTCTCTGGAGGCCCTTCTGCTGACTGTCCTCCTGCATCTCAGCTTCAGTCCTTCTACACAGGGCATTTGGGTAGCCCAGCACCATGTTGACACCAGTGTTTAGTTTGGGGGCTTGTGTCAGGTGACGTGGTATTTTGAGAATGACGTGCATGGGAGCTGATTGAGAAGAGTAGTCATTGTTTGGAAGAGCCCTATGGGAAGGGGAGAGGGTGCTGGCCAAAGACAAGAGGCAGGGACAGGCTACACCAAGGGCCTAAGAGACAGTAGCCGGGTATGCAGTGGCACCACCTCAGCAAGGATACTGTTCCAGGGAGATGGTGCAAATGCTTGGTAGAGAATCACCTACCCTCTCAGGCTGCACAGTCTGTGAGTGGCAGAACGGGAGCAGGAGGAGGAAAAGCAAAATGTGCGTGTGTGCAGACCTGGATGCTGGGTGTGGCGAGGCAGGTTCAGGAGAAGGTCAAAGGAAGCATGGGTTAGACACACCAGTGACAGCTTCCCATGTAAGATCAAGGTGGGAGAAAGCAACAGGTCAGAAAGAGGTCATTCAAAGGCAAAGCATATGAGGACTGGCATAGGTCAAGGCCTCTGGGGATGCAGAGGGCTTGGGGAGCAGGAGACCCTGTCACCAAGCCAGGCGAGAGAGTGACCCCTGGTAGGTGACTCATTCATGAAGCACCTGCTGTTTGGCACCTTGTACTCACCAGGCACTTTCTAGGCCAAAGTGATGCATCGGTAATGGGAGCAAATCCCTTCGCTCCTGCACTTCGTCTTCCAGTTCTGAGAGAAATACAATAAAGTAAACGTGGCACCCAGACAGTAGAAGATGGTAAGGGCTCTGAGAAAAATACCAGCAGGATGGGGGAGTCAGGTTCGAAGGGTGAAAACAGGCTGTGATTCCTCACTGGGCGGTCCCACAGGCCTCCCTGAGAAGGTGGAGGTGGGGAGCACACCGTGCAAACTCGAGGACAAGATTTTTCCTGTCAGAAAGAGCAGCATTTGCGAAGGCCTGGAGTGAGCAACCTGCCTGGCCCAGTCAGGAGTGGAAGATAAGCCAGTGTGGCCGAAGTGCAGCCAGAGCAAGGGAGAGCGCCTGAGATCTGGGCAGACCGTGTAGGCCACGGCCAGGACTTGGGCTTTCACTCCTAGTGCGCTGGGAAGCCTGTGGTGGATGGCGCGATTCCAGAGCACGCGCCGTAGCAGGATCTGCAACTGTTATCTCAAGACAGACTGGTGGGGCAGGCAGGTGGGGGGACAGTGATCACAATGCGGCTGAGGTAGATGGCCCTGCCTTCAGAAGGCAGTCAGTGTCTGTGTTAAGGGTACACCCTGTGGAAGGAATCTGGAGGGAAAAAATAAATAAAAGCACAACAGCACCATCAACACCTGTTTGTGAAGCCTGTATTTGTCAGGTCATTGTCTCCTCATCACCTCAGCACCTACAGTAACCTTAAAGAAAGAAAAAAAGAATTATTTTAGTTAACTTTATTTATTTACTTATTTTAATTGGACCAGAAAAGACAGACTGAGAGAGAGAAAGTAAGAAAGCAAGCCACCAGGTCCAGGACTCAAACCACAGTCAGCCATGTGGAAGTCCAGCACCCCTAACCACCACGCCATCTGCTGGTCCCATAACTTTTTTTTTTTTGGTAGAGATTTTTGTCTAGGGCGTGTGTGCTCTCCACAGGGAAGATAGAGAGAGACAGAGACAGTGGGAGGGAAAGTGAGAAATCCCTCCCCAGGTAGAGGAGAGGATGGCCATGCTTTAATCCCTTCTTCATTCTTCTCCCAGGATTCTGGGCACACACGCACATGCAACTGACATGAGTTTCAAGTCACCAGGTGCAGGACGCGAATCACAGTGGGCCATGTGGGAGTCCAGTACCGTAACCACTATTACCTGCTCGCCCTGACTTTTTCCCTTCTCCCTACTACATTTCCAGTTTTGTTATTTGGGAGCTCCGTAAGCTCCGTTTCTCTCTAGGTCTGCCTGTCTTCCACACCGGTGCTCCTGTGTTGAGCACAGTTTGTAGACACCCTTCCAGGGTCTTCTTAAATATCTAGACCCCTTACAAGTCTTTCCTTCTGACTGTGATGGATCTTTGAAAATACATGGAAATTTGCATTATGAAAAAACTGCACTTCCATTTCAACATTTTGCACCGAAATAAGCTCATACTTTAATTCCAGTTTTCCACAAACTTTTTAAAGTCCCTTGTAGATGCCATATCTATCATTTATTATATTTTCTTGCACCTACCAGGTGTCTCAGGAAATCATCTAGTCTTTCATGAAAGATGTTTACGTTTGAGTGATCACTGACATCAGTCCTTTCACTTATATCTTAAGAGAACGCTGGAGTGCAAATTCCAAAAATAAGCTAATTTTAAAATCTGCTTCTTATTTTACCTAGAATTAAAAAAAGTCAAAGCACTTTTTCTCAAATGTATTTGTTATAAGGACCACTTGTAAAAAAGCAATCCTGTGACCAACAGATAGCATGGTGGTTAAAGGCAATAGACTCCCACATGGCCAACCACTATCTGAGTCCTGGACCCAGAAGCTTCAAAATCACACCTGGCATGTGCACATGTATGCCCAAAATCTCAGGAGGAAAATGGAGCAGATTATGACATGGCCATTCCCCCTAGGAGGTGATTCCTCACTTTCCCTCTCTCTGTCTTTTTCTGGAAGTGTACACACCCTATGGCAAAAACCTTTAAAAAAAAAAAAAGTTTTAAAACTTAAAAAGAAAAGTAATTCTTTAAAATATTTAAAGGTAAATACAATTACTTTTTAAATACTATTTTTAAAATATGCCTAGATATAAATTGAGATTCAATCTCATCCTATGCTTGTCTGACTATAAGGGCCAAAGAAAATTTTATAAATTAAATATAAATGAAAATACAAAGGTCAGTATTTTATAAAAATTCAAAATGTTCAGATTAACTCTCTGAATTTAATATGGCAGTTGCTGTCATTTGCTGACACTGAACCACTGCGTGTTCCCGTCCCAGCAGGCCCATGGCCCTTTACTACGAGCTGCCTCCGTTCTCTTATCACTGCCCCCCGCCAGACTTCCCCTCGAACACACTGCCCCAGACCACGGGGCACTTCTTGCTGGGGATGCACCCTTTGTGGTCTGTCCACCTCTATTCTTTCCTCATTCATTCAGAAAACTGACTGACTGCTTTTTCCCAAAGAGATCGAAAGCATAAGACCTGATGTGATGCATAATTTGCATCGCAGATGTTGGTTGAACTGTGGCCAAAGGATGGAGAGTAAACTTTCAAATAATAATCAGAATAGCAACCCTGGAATGAAAAGCTCCTCAAAAAAATTTTCATCTTGCAAATCTTTGAGGCCTCCAGCAGAAACACACTCAGCTCAGGCCTAGCGTCTCCCTTTGGAGATCTAGCCTTCCTTCTCTACTCCATGGGGCATGCGTATAGTGACTAATTTAGTATGTTTTCCACCAACAGATTTTTTTTGAACTATTGCCAGGTAGTGATATTACCTGTTTACATTTTTGTTTCCATTTTAAAATTTTCCGTATTACTCAGTGACCATTTATGAACTGCTTTCTCATAGCATGAAATGCTGTGACATAGCAAAGACTAAAACTGTGCTTTGGCATTTTTACATGGACACAGAATTTGAGCATTGGAAATAACAGTCAAGGTTCTCCAAGAAACAGAAGCAACGGGGCGTCTGTATGTAGATACACACGCTGCACCACTTAATGGCAGGGTACATCTGAGAAACGCGGTGTTGGCAATGTCATCCCTGTGCAAATATCAGAAAATGAATGTACATAAACATGAAGGATACAGCCTACCACACACCTAGGTTGTATGGTGTGTAGCGCCTATTACACATGTACACGGCCTGTCATCCACCACTGTCGCTATGTGGCACGCGACTATAAGAGATTTATTAGGCAGACTGGCTCAGGTGTCTGTGAAGGACAAGGAATCCTACAGCCTGCCATCTGAAAACGAGTGTGATTCAGTCTGAGTCTGAAGGCCCAGGGAGGCCAAAGGCTTGAGAACCTAAGGGGCGATAGCACTGGTATTAGTCCCAGAGTCCAAAAGCCTGATGTCTGAGGCCGGGAGAAGAAGAATTGTCCCAGATCCAGAAGAGAGAAAATTCACCCCTCTTGGGCATTTTTGTGTTCAAAGAACTGGAGGGTGCCCATCCTCAGCCTGAGGGCAGATCTTCTTTACCCACTTTACCTATTCAGATGCTAGTCTCTTCTGGAAACACCCTCACAAACATAGCAGAAATCACATTTTACCAGCTACCTGGGCATCCTTTAGCCTAGTCACATAGATATATAAGATTAGCCATCATCCGCAGTCAGACTTCTCTCTAAAATATCCAGTATAACTATTCATTTAGTGTCTATGTGAGAGACTCCAATTATTAGCTACTAAGACGGTTTATTTCATTTTGATGTTAGTTTAATACTACCACCTAGAACAATGCACAGATCTAACCCCTCTTGCAAAGGACACGTTCAACCATGTGAAGATAAATTGCCACTCATCAGCCTGCCCTCCCCCAGACAGGCACTCTTAGTACTTTGAACCGTTCTTACATCATGATGCGGACTAATAGGAGAAACAGCTCAATAATTTCTTTTATATGTTCTCTGTGCAATGTGCAATTCAATTTCCTTAATAGAAACTTCAACAGATTATGTAATCCATAGTTCTTATCTCAAACAGGTTTTTTTATAACAATTTTGCTCCTAGTGTTAATATTATACATGACTACAGCAAAGTACTGTGCAATAATTCTATTGAAACGACATGGACAGAATGCATTTTAAATGATATTGAGCATTTATAAATGTAGGCACACATGTGTGTGTGATTTATTTACTTACTTACTTATTTCATTTTACGACTGAATAAAGAAAGTATGTAAGCTCAAAGAGGCTTGTATTGACCAGGTAGAACCAGAAAGTGCTGGCTACCAAGACTGAGTGAGTGCCAACACTCCCTCTTGGGGTCCTTCCATAAGAGGCCCTTCCCAAACCCAAATGCAGGATCTATGGGTCTTGACAAGGCTTCCTGGGAGAATCTGGCAAGATCAAAAACTCCAGCCGAATCCTGTGCAGGCATATCCAGGTTCCTGTCTCCATTGTTAAGTCTTGATGAGCGGACCCTGGTCTGGAAGGCTGGGAAACAGGGTGTGATAAATAAGTCAAAGCTGACGGTCACCAACCTCCCACCCAGGTCCTACTGAACCCTGCTCTACATTAGAGATAAGTGACATTTTGGGCATCTTTCTAAAGACCAACAGCAACTTGATGTCCTAAGGCCCCACGAAGGCCAGACCGTTGTTGATAGGGAAGAGCAAACTTGCCCAGAGGCACATGCAACTCCTTTCTAAAGAGTTTTAGTTGGAGACCAGGCAGCTAGTGCCTTTGAAGGCTGTGCTTTCCTGTGGTTGGCTGGGCATGTGTCTTACAGGTGCACAGTTGCGCCCTCCCAACGCCAACACTGGTGTTGATAGTCTTAACTGTCTGTGGGGACATATTGCACAGAGTGAGAATGACATTTTTGTGATTAATTCTTCCCAACAGCTGGCTGTCCCAACTCCTTGATTAAAGAGCTCCATCACTTCAGGATTCTTGGGGAAGAGCAGGTGAGTTGGCATCTCCAAGGCGGTGTCCACGTGTCATGAGAGATAGACACTAATGAGACAGTTTGGCTCTCTCCAGGGAGGCTGAGTGTGTCCGCTGACCCTCGGCACCCCGAGATAGGAAAGAAAGTCGTGCTAGAGAGATGTGTAAGGACACATTTTCCTCTTCTATCCATCAGACCTGACAGGATATTAATTGGTACATCTGCTATCTGCCAGAGTGTTTCATCTCAAGACGCAAGCAGTATGCAGGCGCTGCAGAGTGGCAGATGAGCAAACAAATAAATGCAGAGATGAATTATGTCTACAGAATCGATAGTCACAGACATCCCTGATTTGATGTCTATGGTTGCATGTACAAGCTCTTCTCTGCACATTCGCACAGTTTGTGTGTGATAGCTATAATTCACAGCTGCCGCTTCCTATATGAATGTATGGCTTATACAGAAGTAGACAAATGCTGTGTTATGCTCAGTGATGTATGTCATATTTAAAATGGCTGTACTAAGTAAAGAATTTGGGATACTAATTATTACATACAGACATACATACACATACCTTTTTGATGGCCAAAAATCATCTCTTGATCCTCGTAGAAGCATACTCAATATTAGTACATTAAATTAGTTGTCCAATTATCCTTAAAATACTTATACTAAATGTTGGCAACATGTTGGTCGATCTAATTTACTCTCCGCTACTGAGTTTTACTCCAAAAGACTGTCTTTGCCGACTGGCCAGAGCCAGACAGCTTGTAAGTGGAGATGTGGTTGCTTAGTTTTGTCAATGAGTTTTTAGTTTGTATGATTTCCTTTTGTGTGATTTGTGGCAAAGAATTCTTTTCAATAGGAGATTAAAACAGAAGAGTCAATTAGAGGAGGATAAGAAATTGGAATCATCTCCAAATCCTTGGGGATGACAAGCTATAATATGCCTTCTTTATTCCGCCATATTGTGAGTTTCCAGAATAGCAGGCACAAGTGTTTACTCGAATACAAGCAAAATCGGTTACATTGTATCGCCGATAAAAGTTGATAACCAGCTCCCTCAAATATACCTACATGTGAAAACACCTTTACCTCACAGCCATTTTGCAACAAAAACCTGAGAGACTTCTTAAAGCAAGAATCATTAGCTGACATTTCCACTCAGATAATGGAGCCTTTTCTTCTAACTTGTACCAATATTTGCAAATTGTTTCCATATTTGTTTTAGAGTCACTGGGTAAT